AAAGTAAGGTTAAGCAGTTAAAGTACTTAAAACCAAACTTTTGTAAACATAGCTGCTATCCTGCAGTCCTTTGAAGAAAAAGGAAGTCTGTAAGATCACGTCATGGGTATTCACTGCATAAATCTTCCAAGAGATGAAACAAAAGAGAAAGCATACAGTGAGGAATACAAAGCCAGCCTGCCATACTAGTAAATAAGCAGTGAAGGAAAGGTACACCTAAAGCATTCATTTTCTGTGACTAGGGGCTTGAAGATTTGTACAGTGATTCAGACTGCAGAATCTGGGATTTAGTGTTATTTTATGCAGGACTGGAGGAAGGCCAACATGGGTTGGCAGTCAACCAAACTAAGTTTTTCCACATGAATTCACATGGTCCTCATTGGCTCCTTGTACTGATGCTGTGACTTTGCATAAACCAAACAGGCCACCTAAAGCCAGTCTTTATGCTCACTGGCAAATTGGAATTGAGGAATAATACTAAGAGCAAAAGCTCAGCTGAAGACATAACATCTAACACTGGATTCAGAATTTGTGTCTAAGTATAACTGAGGGTAGCTTTTGAAACAGGGGTGATAATTTTTCTCTATAAAGTTTGCCTCATCCTTCCTCAGAACTCTTGCATCATTGATGTCTTTGAAAAAAGATGTAAAGAGTAAAGAACTCGATGTTCAGATCTGATCTAGGAATTATGTCACCTTCTATGGCACAGGGCCACCAGGGCTGGGACTCCAACCATGTCATCCTCCAAAGCCAGAACTGTAGGGAAATAGATGAGATTCCCTTTCCCACTGGAGTCCTGCTGCACAAGACCACTCTATATTGGCAAATGAATAGCAGAACGACTTGGATTGAAAGAGTTATAAAAGATCATGTAGTCCTCTGCAACCCCATTGCCATGGGCATGGCTGCCAGCCACCAGATCAGGCTACCCAGGCCCCCATCCAACCTGGTCTTGAACACCTCCAGGGACAGAGCATCCACGGCTTCTCTGGGCAGCCTGTGCCAGTACCTCACCAATCTCTGAATAAAAAAATTTCTTTCTAACGTTTAACCTAAATCTTCTCTCTTTTAGTTTAAAGACATTCCCCCTTCTCCCATCACTTTTATATATGGCAAAAAGTCAGTCTCCCTCCTCATTATAAGCTCACTTTAAGTACCGGAAGGCCTCAATGAAGTCTCCTCAGCCCAAGATACCACTGCTTTTTTCAGGCTTCAAGAGCATACTAATGACTTATGTTCAGCTTTTCATCTATCAGGATCCCCAAGTCCTGCTCTCAATGAGATCTCACAGTCTGCACACATAACAAGGATCCAAGTTGCAATCCAAGTGCAATACCTTGCACTTTGCACTATGCCAGCAAAAAGTTACTTTGGTTGTCTTTTCCCTTCTAAGTAGATCAATTAATGTTCTTGATTAATCTTTTTGATATGTCATCTGATTTTATGGTTTTGGTTTTTAAGAGTGTGTTATCACTTACTTTGCAACACTACTTAAGCATACAAGGCTTTGTAGAGTTGTAGGGAGGAGTCTCCAATAGTATGAGGAGCAGGGAAGTTAGTGGCCTCCTAACTGCTTTTCATAGCTCTACACTGCTTCTGTGCACTATCAAAATTTGACTGAGCTTTAGCCATGCTGCTGAAGAAAGATGGGCTGTAGTATGAGAATCTGAAAAAAGGTTGGAGTACACTTTAAATGCTGACTGCATAAATTCCTTGTTTAATGTTAAGTAACATATAAGCCCAAAGAGTTGCAAGTCACATTTTCAAAAGACAGTTCTGCTTGTTTTTCTTCACGTGGGTTCAGTGATGATGAACATACAGGCTCATAGATGACGAGCTGATATATTCATCTAAACATATATTCTTTTTTATTTTATTTCATTTCATACAGATGGCAATGAGGCAAATTTATAAATGTAGCTCTTGAAATGGTTTATTTATTTCACTTCACTCAATTTTGGAGTCCCAAAGAAAGACTGAGAGGCCTTTGTTCTGCCACAAGGGAAGCTGCACATGGTAGTTTTAAAGGAACTTCTCTCCAGTCAGAGCCTAGCTTCAAAAAAACCCACCAAAAACAGAGAACAAAATAAACAAAAAAACCCACCTAATTTCCTATATATTTCTTGAATTACTTATGTATGCATATAAATTACTTGTACTACTGAGACATTTAAAAAATTTGCACTATATAGTTTTCAATTTTGCCTTAATTTTGTGCTCTATTGCACTGCAAACCAGCCACTGGATTTGCACAGTTTCCATGTAAGTTGTCTTTTATACCAGAAATTATAACAATAGAATTTTGAAAGATTTGTCATACCTTAACTCAGAGCCCAGGTGAAACTAAATCAAAAGCATGTGAGGGCCTAGCACATTCAACTAGTCTTGTTCTTGTTCTTCTGGTGTAAGCAAGACTTAGAATTTGAGCAGCAGATAGCAGAAAAAGAGGTAAGACAAATGAATTGAGAAAAGTGGGTTCTCACTGATGGGAAGAAGTGAGTAAATTGAGGTACAGAATGTGGAATAGAAAAAGACCAGATGCTGTCTGTTTATTTGTGGACTCATTTGACAGGCATCAGACTTAATGCAAAACCTAAGTTTTCTGAGAGAAAATGTCAATTTTTTTTTTTTTTTTTTTTGTCACTTTTTTTGATAAAATTGAAAATGATCTTCTGTGGTGGCTGCTGAACTTTAATTTGGTGACAATGTTGATATAAAACAGCTTTTTGTGATAGCTGATTTAGGAATGGAGTTAAATTTGCCAAAATCAGATTCTAGCTGGAAAAATAGGTCAAACTGTATTTTATTTTTGTCTGTTTTGATAGAAGTATTCCAAGAACCACATGGCAATTGCATTAAATCACAGACATTTTGGAAATACAGCAGAGCTAGAATAACACAGCCCTGGAAACAAAGTTCAGTGAGGTATTGAGGCTCCAACCAGGCATATGTTGTAGTACTGAGGATTCAGCAGATGTACTTCCAAGGTAGAGACCATGCTATGAGGCACAGAGAAAAAAGGGAATGCAGAAGAAGCAGCCCCCTGCAGCTGGCTGGTCAAAACCACCAGATCTTTCATGCCTAGGGCTGTTTAGTGCAGCCTGTTCTCAGCAGACCAGGATAGAGGACTGAGAGCTGCAGCCAGCATCTCCTCACACTCTTAATACCAGTCACCTATGAGCATGCAGCAAAGTGCTCCGCTTCCACCTCCTGTGGAAGAAAAGATTGTCCAAACTGGAGGTGGGACCACTTTGTCTTCTTACCTTTCCCTCCTCTTCTGCACATGCTTTAACTTTTGTGTCCCAGATCTTACTGAACAGTAGAGAACTCATTGTTATGTCAACCCAACTTGTTTCTTATATTCACATATCACTTCGTTAATCTACTTAGTGCACTCCCAGTTTCTTCCTTGCTTGCTATGGGTTCCTGTGGTGTTGGTGAGGTGAACAGACAGCTTTGGGAAGTGAAATTTAGCAGAACAGTAGAAATAATTTTTCCTTCAGTAGGCATGAAGTAGAAGCCTGCATTTGATTCTTTTGGAAGGACTGAAAGAAGTTTTGTCTCTCCTTTTAAACTGCGTATAATAAAGACCTTCATCTTCTGCAGGATATAAATCCTACAGGATCAGTAGGAGACTGATTGCATGAATGTCAGAAGAAAATAAGTAAAGAGAACAAATCAAAGGGAATCATAGAATCATAGAATAGCTTACGTTAGAAGGGATCTTAAAGATCATCTAGTTCCAACCCCCTTCTATTACACAAATAAAGCTTAGTTTGTGAACAGTTTTCTGACTGAGATCAGAAGACCTATGATATGGGCTTGTACAAACAGCATCCTTCCTGTCTGCTGTAATCACACATTCCATTACATACTCAGAGCTTCGTTCATACTCTGGTTGTTTCCTGCCATTAATTTACTGAAGTGAAAGGCTGTGATTCTGTGACAAGCTGCAGGTCTGTCTTACTCTTACCAGACGTGCCTGCTATTGTGACTTTCATTTTGGCAGGCTTGCCTCTAGGCTTTTAGCTGTAGCACATACACTGAGATGAGTATTTTTGGTCTAAGTCTGCTGCAAAGTGTGGCAGCTGGGATGAAAAAAAAAAAACAGTAAAACTTTTTCTCAACGACCACAAGATCTTCTGAATATGCAGAAAAAAATCTAAGCAGATAGTGAAATTATCTACATTAAAAAAGTAATGGTCTGTAAATGCAGACAGATTTTTGTTTCCTTCTTAAGAAACACAGTGTGTATATGAAGAGCTGGGTAGTATATATTGTTTTGTTGATAAGAGCCTGATTAGAGCTGTGCAAAACTATGATTCTTTGCAGACTCAGGGAGACTGGCAGTAAAATTGTGCATAAAAGCCCACCCAGTCATTCCAGGGAGAGGAACTTGGCAGAAAAGTGATGCCTCCTTTATATAGCATCTGCAAAGGCTCAGACACCCTATGTTGTACATGTTGTACAATTACACATATGTGAGGTGAAGCAAAAGTCTGTGGAGTGAGACGCCTTATCCACAGCAGGGACTGTGCCCCACCTGCCTAGCCCGCTTGCATCTCTGGCTCCAGATACATTCTACATTTCCTATGATATCAAAAAATATAAAAATCAGCCCTCTGCAAAAGTATTTTCTCATCTTAAAACATGGAGCTTTCTTCTAAGCCCTCTGCCACATACTGGCTGCAGGTCTAGTATTCACTGATGGTTCTATGCAGCATCAGAAATGCCCTTCAAAATTATTGGTACCTAAAATTTTGACTGTAAGATTTGTCCCAGTAATTACCTGGCATCTCACTGTTAAGTGAAATCCCTACTCTATGTCCCCCACAGACATCCCAGGGATAAGGAGGACCAGTTATCAAGGAGACCATCTCTGGTGTTCTGTGTGTAACAGGAGATCAAAGATACTGAGATGCCCCAAGTAGCCAAATATCTCTGTGCCTCAAAACCTCCTGGAACTGGAGAAAAAAAAAAAAAAAGAAAAAAAAACTGTGAAAAAAAATACAGATAAAAGAAGCTAGAAGTATGCTATATTAGCACAGCAGAGAAAGACTGAAGATATATGTGATCTATGGTATTTCCCTTCTGTCTACGAGGTCATATGTTGTCTCTCTTTCCTCACTGACTTCTTTCTGGCCTTCTTCAACTAGCTTGTGAATTGTGCTATAATGCTGTTTGCTACTGCTGAAAGTGTAGAGCTGGGAAGCATCTTCCCATGCCTGAAAAGCTGGCAGGAGCATAACTTCTGGCTTTCTTTTCTCAAAGAAACACTTCAGGTTTCGCTCGCTCAGCTTGGTGGCGTACAGCTGGAAGGTCTGCTCCAGTTGCTCCTTCTCCTTCTCAGCATACACCTTCCAGAACATCAGCTGGAGATGGCTGATTTTCGACTGGCAGCTGGCACAGCAAGTGGTTAGCAGGGAGAAAAGAGCCATAGCCACTATCACACACCAACCTAAAATCTGGGAAAACAAAAGAAACAGACCTCAGGTTAAAGTGAAAACACTATTTAAGAATGTTTGTCAGAGTGACTGTGCTTTGTATAGTGGGCCTGCTGCTCTTCTAGGGAAACTACCACAGACATCTCTTTGTAATCTTCATTTGTTGACTGATGTTAGTGTTAATGGAGTTGCCACATCTGAATGAAAAGGAAGCAAAAGACAGGACCAAGGCTTTTCTGTACTGTTCATTTTGATGTCTCTTCCTCAAGAGAGTGAATGGAAGTTGCTCTTGAGGTAAAACTCTAAAAAAACATTGGCTTATACTGGAGGCTGTCTGCCCACAAAGAGATAGGCTTTGCCTCAATTTTATGTGATCCCATTTTATGTCAAAAGGAACTTAGATAACAACAGCAGAAAAGACCAGTGCAAATGCAACAGCAAATTCAGGAACAGAGGCACTCAAATCAGACCTGAGCTACAAGACCACACGTAAAGAAAAATCTAAGTCTAAATGATCAATCAAATAATGCACCAGCTCAATAGTGTTATACAGTAAACAGATTGAACCTGAGAGCAAGGAATAGTGTCGGGACATGTAAAGGGGATTCTGATGAGGATTTATTGCAAAATATAGAGATCTGGCATGTAGTGTATTGGAGCTGATCACTGAATTCTGCCGCAGGAAGAAGTGCACAGGTAGAACAAACTGTCATGATCACTGAATGGTAAATGGATTTCTGTCTCTTGAGAATATTAAATAGAATCACTCAGCAAGAATTAGGATTAAGATACAGTTCTGAATTATGTCTAACTAAAAAACCACAATGGATAAGTAACTTTTTTTCCCAATTCAATCAATCTTTTCAACTGTAAATATTTTTAAATGTGTTGTTTTCAGATTTCTTTTCATTAAAAACAAACAAACAAAAAATCCCCTGTTTTAGCATAAATTACTTAACAGGAATATATGTCTTAACATTAAAATCTTGACATAAATTCTTCCCAGCCCCTTCCACTTCTTTTTCTAGGAGATTGACTGAAATTTAACCCATTCTTGTGAGCTTTTTTGATGAATCAGCCCTTTGTAGAGGAAAATCTTTTTTTATTTCAAAACTGTTTTAAAATGTTCTTGCTCAGTTCTGTGACTGGAGAGAGCAAGAGAAAAAGGAAATTTCATGTCCGTCAGCATGTCTGCCTTGGCACTGAAACAGAGCACGACTTTTTTACGCACTCAGTAGAAATAATTGCCATATTTTCAGAGATCTCTCAATTTTTTTTCCAGCAACACTAAGGTTCTTTGTAGCTTCTTCTGAATTTTACTAAATTATGTTAAGAATTGCTAAGGGAAAGAACAAATTCCATGCTTAAGGAATGAGGTGGAAAAATGTGTGAGCAATTGTTTTTGTGGAATGACCTCCTTCAAGGAGAGCAGAGGTGTGGATGCAGGTTTTTCATGCCTAATGCCACTGTCATTGCCAACAGTTTCACCCACCTATTCCACTGTGATGTGTAACATTTGCAAAACATGCTTGTTTCCAAATGAAGGAACGAATTCCAATGTGGGATAACTTTTGTTTAATTTTCAGAGACCCATATGAATTGGAACTGATTTTCCATGCTCTGTCTTAATGGAGATGACACTAAGAGCTGCAATCTGCATTATGGGAACTCTAGAAAGAATGTTAAAATAATTACTCCTTTGTATTTAGCCAATGGAAACACGGAAATTTTCCCTGAGGAAACAGGGAAGACTGGCTTACAATTATTTTTAGGGACTATTATGATTTTGAATTATTTTATGCATTTTCTGCTCACTTTGTGATAACTAATTATGTCTATATGTTTTTAAAATATTGTTTTTCAGAAGCCCTTCACTCTTCTGCAATTTGGAGAATGAACCTATCTGTTCCCATGTTATACCCTGAGTCATTGGTCTTTCATTGTTTCCTGTGGTGCATACAACTTCAAGTCTTAAGGCCCATTTGATTTTTCCTTTCTAGAACTCTCAGTTAAATTGCTTTTCCTGCACTGTAGTCTTTGCCTGCATTCTGGTCCTATTTGCCTGAGGAAATGAAAATAAAAACAGCTCTTGATAGGAAACAGTTCCAGATGAATACAGTCATCTAACAAAGACTTACAGGCTCCACAGAATGCTTCCTGTCATATGCTGACTATCGTCTTTTCATCATTTTCTATAGCACTTTTTTCTCCTTTCCTTCATTTTGTCTTTTCATCTCTAAGTTTCTTTACATTACAAGACAATGAAAACAACTGTAATGGACAAGTATAGCAGAATGTAATCTCAGCCTTGCATTCTCTGGTTTTATTTTAGTGTTTCTTTCTTCTTCCAAGCAGGACAAAAAGATGCTTTCATCTGGCATCATAAATTTGAGAAATGCAAACAGAAACAAGTTATCTAGACAGTGAGTCACAAATCTAATTTTTCGGTATTTTCCTACTGCTAACGATCTGGATTTCCTTATGGTATATATGATAATAGAAAAATAGGAGATGATTGTTATATGGATTTACAGTGTAAAAAACCCATCTGATAGAGTGACATCTGTTGATTTGGTTTCCTAAACCAAAGACCGGTGATGGTTTTTTTTCTTCAGAGCTCTCTTCTTTCAGAAAGACAGCTTTAAACTATCTGACTTTACTAATACTTATTACAGTGGAATCCTCCCCCAACTTTGAGACAGGTCATCATTCAAACTGAATTAAAATAATATCAATTACTGAATTTGGCAGGGCTGTATCATAAGAAAACTTTATGTGAAGTCAATGGTTTTATTTTAGCACCTTCCATAGATGATTCACAGCAGTATTACAAAGTTTAATATCCTTCCACTTGTTTTTCTTACCTGGGAGTGGGCCTGCAGTGTTAGCTTGAGTTCCTCACTCTCTGAAAAGGGCATGGTGCTTTTGCCACAGGACACCTTGTGCAGCTCCTCAAAGCACTTCACAGATTTGTTGTGGCAAATTGCATCTAAGTAGGCAGGATTTCTCAAGCCACTCATGGCACATTCATAAAAAGTCCCGTTGAGCAAAGCCACAGAAAGCCACATCACTGGGGCTACCAGGGCATTTAATGTGATTTGTCCAAAGATAATGAAGAAATGACAGATATTCCCTTTGGGGAATATTTTTCTGGGGTTCACCCAGCAGCCTGTGAAGAGCTTCCAGGTCTTATTATTCAGGAAATATCCAAAAACAAGTAAAACAAAAGCTGGGGAGAAAAGAAAAACCAAACCATACTTGAAGTTTTCATTGCTGCAGGGGCATCTGAAAGCAACAAGAGAAAATGCACGTTCACTTCCCAGTGTCAGCAGAGCCATAACGCTGTAGCCAATAGCAGTTCTCCGGTTTATAAAGAATTTCAGGATTGTTTGGAAACCTTCCATGTCCTATACTCACCAAAGAGGTAAAAAAAGCAACAACACTTATCTCCAACTGGAGCAGCTTGTGGCTGTGTGTTGCGGGAGAGCTCTCCACAGATAGAACAACTGCTGTGAACCTGGTGCCTCAGCACCTCCTGGTTCGCACAATGATCTCACTAAAAATGCATGCATATGGGACCTCTCCACCAGCAGAGCAGATGCTGCATATTTAAAGTAATACTAACCAGTAGAGGCAGAGAAGCAAACCCCGCCCTGTTATCAAATACATCCCAGTAGTTTTACTCTTTCTTCTTTTGTTTCAGTTGTAGCTTTGTTTATTTATTTATTTGTTTGTATGTTTTGGCTGCACATGGAGAACTGAGTAAACGCACTCACAAGTTGCAGGAGTTCCTGAGCAGTGATTATCAAAGTTGCTGGCAATGTAGAGCAACACAGAGGCCAGTATAGAGCTAATGGCCCCAGAAGAGCATAACGACACTGAGTGAAAGCATGAGGGATTACAATACAACTGTTTTTTTATGGGGCTGTAAATGCAGGAACATCAAAGAGAGAACAAGCAGCCTTACAGTGTACTTCTCTGGAATATCACATAGCTCCAAATCTGTGAACACAATGGAACACAGAAGAGACAGATCTAGTATGATCTCAAGACTACTTGTTCCTTACCCCTACTTTCCTGGAGCAAAACTAGTATGTAGGATGTTGCATACTAAAGTTGCTGCTCTGGTTTGTGCCCATCAGATTCAAGTGGCTGACTATCCTCCTTTTGCAGGTGGCTTTCAAAATGTACTTGGGGGTCACCCCCAGTGTGAACTGCAGTAGTGCTGCAGGTAATGAATTCTCCTTAATCCTGGACAAAAACCCATTAGTGGACTTTGTGGAGGAGCTGCCAGTGGAACGAGCATCCCTTTGCTATTGCAACCTCCTCTGTGGAGTGATTCGAGGTGCCTTGGAAATGGTAAGGAAGCACACATCCATTTTCTCCATTTTTTGTTCATGTGCAGAGGTGCAGGAATGCTACACATCTTGCTCAATGAAGCTTACTAGTATTAAATTTCTTTCAGATTTAATGTCTAAACTGTGATTGAAAGGGTCAGGCTGATTCTGAGATAAAGAAGCACACAGGCTGGCTCGCTAAGCACAGTCTCAGCTGGGCTCCTTTGAGGGCTTGTGGGAAAAGGACCCAGCTGACAAAGAACAGGGGGAGCCAAGGTCCTGTTCTTGGCTTGTCATCTGCTCCTTAATCCTATTTCATTTTTTTCTGCATAGATTTTATTGTTAAAAGCATCCCTGATTCTTTCCATCCTTGATGTACGAGGATCAATAAAATTTTCTCATGTCACAGCAATACAACTGCAGCATCATGTGAAAGAGAGAATGTGGATGCAGACAACTTAAAAACCAAACAATCAGAACTGTACTGGATGACATTCCAAATCATTTAAGGCTTTTACAAAAGAACACACAAAGGCCATAATCTGAATGTCACTGAGCTGTAGAGCTTCTGTCTCACTTTCTGGAAGATAACATTTGGGCTGCATTGTTTTTTTAATGAGTATCTGATTTGTCATATGTCTTACGTTTCAAGAAAGTAAAAGTTGTGTAAGTATTATTTCTATAAATCAGTCTCAGAATCATAATGTGTGATACATATATGATATCTGACCAATTAACAAGAGTGTTAATAACTTAAGTATGTGATCAGGAAATTTTGTGATCACAAAATCAAGTACACATCTTCAGTTCTCAGAGCAAAGCAAAGCACTAGACTGATGATTAACATATGCTATTTCTAGTATGTAGGCTTTCTTTCTATTAATTTGGTTTGGAAATATATTTTTTAAAATTTGGAAATCTGTTTTTTACAAAACTTGTAAAAGGGGGTCCCCTTGTGGTAAGAGAGAGATAAGAATACTGTTAACCAGAGGAAGGAGACGAACTGAGTGCTTCTTTGCTTCTTCCTAGGTTCACTTGGCAGCAGAAGTGACCTTTCTGCAAGACAAACTGAGGGGTGATGCTGTGACAGAAATAGGAATTACATTTTTAAGGAAGGCTGAAGACAAGAAAGCAAAAAAGAAATAAATGAAAGAAATATTGAGATAAACTTTTGTTATGTGATGTTCTAGACCTTTTGTTTCTGAAGATGAAATGCAGGGTAGAAATGTTTCCTTGATTCATCTGCACCACTCAGATGTTGGTAGGGTGAAGATATCTAGAAAGCAGAGCTGAGGTCAGAGTAAAAATCTTAATCCTCATGGCACAGGTATGAGTACAAGAGATCAACATGTCTTTGCTCTTGCTTTTCACATAACCATACTCTTGAACAAAATGGATGCTTTATTTCAGTATTCAGTGCATGCTGGGTACAAAATATTCATTCAGACACCTAATGTTTTCAGTGTTTTCAGGTGAACATGACTTTGCTTTTCCTTTTTTTTTTTTTTGGGGGGGGGGGGGGGGGATGGGGAGTGATGTTTAAAAGCATGATTGGTAAGATATGCTTTATTTCCCTATCTGACTGTAGTTAAGAATAATAAATCCTACAATATGCAGTTTCTCACTGTGAGATGTCTGCTTTGGTATGCAATGGTTTGCCACTCACTCACTGTCCTTCACACTGGACATCCTTCTGCCTTTCATTGAATCACAGAACCATAGAATCACAGAATCCTTAGAGTTGGAAAGAACCTTTAAAGGTCACAAATCCACAGCAATGAACAAGGACACCACAGCTAGATCAGGTTGCCCAGGGCCTGATCCAGCCTCTCCTTGAAAGTCACCAGGGATGGGACATCAACCACATCTCTGGGCAACCTGTTCCAGTGCCTCACCACCCTCACCTAAAGTAAATGTAAAAGATCTTTTCCTTATATCCAACCTAAATCTACCCTCTTTATGCTTGAAGCCATTTCCACTTGTTCTGTCACCACAGACTCTGCTAAAAAGTCTGTCCCCTTCTTTCCTGTATCTCCTCTTTAGATACTGAAAGGCCACTATCAGGTCACCTCACAGCCTTCTCTTCTCCTGGCTAAACAGCCCCAACTCTCTCAGTCTGTCCTCATAGGAAAGGTGTTCCATCCCTTGGACCATTTTTGTGGCCCTCCTCTGGATGTGCTCCAACAGGTCTACGTCTCTCCCATACTGAGAACCCCACGTCTGGATGCAGTACTCCAGGTGGGGCCTCACCAGCACAGAGTAGAGGAGCAGGACCTGCTGATCATGGATGCAGCCTGGGATACAATTGGCTTTCTGGGCTGTGAGGGCACATTCCTGGTTCATGTCCAGCTTGCCATCCACCAGTACTCTCAGGTCTTTTTGGCAGAACTGTGCTCAATCCTTTAATCCCCCAGGCTGCATTGGTAGTGAAGGTTGTTTAGAAGTGTTCCAGCTGAGCTGGAGTGCCTTGTGCGAGTGTCAAGTGCTCAAGTGAGCTCAGAGATGTCAGTGTCAGATTTTCCTTTGATTGACAGACAGGTACAATCTCATGGCAACAGCTTTTAGACATCTCTCTTTTAGATGTGGGGAAGTTCTGAAGGTTGCTGCTGAAGAGGAGGGAAGTGATCAACAAAGTGATGATGCAATTTTGTGCACAAAAGAGGGCAGTGGCATTATCCTACAGATGTGTTTGGGAGTAGAAAATGGCAAAAGCCCAACTGGTAAAACTGAGAGGATGAACACAATTCCAGACAGCATTTTCACTGGACTTTCTCATTAGGGGTAGAAAAAAGGCATAACCTTTCTCCAGATGCTTTCAGTTTACCCTGAACAATTTTACTGTGTCTCTATGGCAAAGCCTGGCTCCACCGAGTCTTGCTGCTAATTTCAAGGCCATTGTTACCTTCCAATTTACAATACTCCAGAGCAGATTTATTGCCTCCTAGATGTCAGTGAACAATTGAGTTCTTTAATAGGAGAGGTGAACTGAAACATTTTAAGCATAATTGTGCTTCCTGGAGGTACAAATAACAAATTGAACACTTGTTACTGTCCAACTGATCCAACTCCAAACTACCCTGGGAAACACAGTTGTTGCAAGGTTTGGGATACCTTTTGAGTACATGAAGGTGAAATGATACCAAGCAGATAAATGTTTATTCAGTTAAAATGATACCAGTCAGTTAAATGTTATTACATATTATATGTAATCACATAGTACTGGCTGACATCTTTGCTGTGGATGCTTACTGTTTCACATATGACTTTTTCTTAATGATCACTGACATAAAAAAGAAATAATCCCATTATGAACCATATGCTTATTTAAATGTATTTAAGCAAAATTATGAAGTTTATTTTTAAAAAGTCTCCCAGGGTTTACAGTATCAGCCTTTAACATACAATTCTCATTGATTTCAGTAAGAGCACTGAATAAAGCTTCTTTTAGATCAGTAAGGTTAAAAGATTACCAGTGTTACAAACTTTTTTTTTTTTTTTTTACTAAAATCCTTGCTCATTTATATGTGCTTCGTCTACAAACCCTAAAACACAGGAAATTTGACCTCCTTCACTGAGTGTACTGATTTTGCCTCTGTCTGCATTAATGTATTTGTGTATCATGCTGTAATACTGATCATTCTTACTGAATGCATATGGGAGTGAAATCATCTTCCAGTCTTCATTGCTGGGAGTCTGAAATGGCGGTGGGTTGGTGGCTTCAAAAAAGCAATTTATGTTTCTTTCAGCCAGCTGAGCTGCATGTTCTTTGGCCTTGGTTTCGAAGTGCTCTCGTTCCTTTTCCAAATAAATTTTCCAGAACTTTAGCTGAAAATAGCTAACTGGGGAGCAACATCGGCTGATACATGTTGAAATGAGTGCCACAGTAATGACAGCAACTATCAGCAACCATCCTAGAATCTTGAAAAATAAATAAATGTGTTACTAGTGTTTTCACATGGCCCTGTGCGAGAGTATAGAACAAAACACTGAATCAGACATGGAAGCAATACTTTGTAGGCAGAACAAGGATTTGGCTATCAAATAAGAAATCTTTCCTATTTTGTATAGAATGTTGTCATCCACACCACTTTTTGGCTCCTAATTTTGCTGAAAGTAGGTCAGATACAAGAAATGAAGTATATGATCTCATATGTCTTCCATTTGTGTTTGACCAGTCTGTTTCTTTCCGATTTCACTGAAAAATCAATAACAGTCAATCTTCCTCAATTTTGCTCCTTTCTTACTCTGTCAGAATTCAATGTTATAGAATCTGCACTTTTTCAGCTTTTTCTTGAAGAAGCCACATGCTAAATATCTAACAAATTTAAACACTTTGTGTGCGTAATTATTATCTCCTGCAAACTTAACTACATTAATCAGTATTAATGTTTCCCTGAAGAACTGATAATAAATTAACTTTCTTCTGGAGTCAAGGGGAACAAGCACAGAAACAAAACTGGAGTGCTGCACTTTGGTTTCGTTTCACTCCAAATGGAAAAAACCTACTCAAAAGAGCTATTTTTTTTATTACGCAGTTTGCCTTCAGCACAAGAAGGAAACTGTAACAAGATGCACATATATTCTAACTGTTCACCTACACTATAAGTGTGAAATTAATAATAGAGTCAAGCTTTTAGGTTCATGGTCAAACAAGTTGTCCTTCTTTGTTTCACCTGTTGGCTCACCCTTTTGCAGTGAGGTGTTGGCTTCCCCTATGCTAATGACTTCAGCTTCCTCTCAGCTAATGCATACTTACATAAGTCTCAGATCTTTGGAAGGGTAACAGACAAAAGCTTGCGCCAGGCATAATCTGAACAAGAAGAAAAGCTGCAGTGGAAGTGCTGATATCTAGGCTGGTCTACTGCCCAGCACTGAGAAATGCTTTGCCATTGCCAGTGACAAGAGATTACTATGCA